CCGTAATAACTTCGTAATTAGATATCACAATAGATTTTTCTTTAAATCTGAAATTGTTTAACTGAATACAAACGTTAAAAAAATGCGAAATAGATAGTAGAGAGCGTAAAAGTTGTTAATTGTTAAGTTTCAGTTTCAAAATTTTATGAAATTGTTCTGACGACCGATTGTACATCAGAATTACGATTTAAAATTCTTTCGCATTTTAACTCGTGGAGGATAATTTTCAGTGATTTACGAACGCCGGGGAATTAGCTGTTTATTTACATATCGCGGTTGCAACTATAACATATTAATGCAGGCGCTGTGTAAACCTGTGCACCTGTCCTATATTTTGCGAAGCAAATTATTCCAGGATAATTTGCATTTCGTTTGAGAATGTACTGCGAAAACTGCAAACAACCCGAATGTCTGATATGCATACGAATAATTGGATCGATTCACGATCGCCTGAGTTAGGCCTCGACTCGCTAATATTAGCGTAAATTCAGATGTGACGATAGAAATTAGTAGAGGGAGAAATGGAGAAATTGTGAGAATATTTTTATGAATATGAAAGTATATATAATATTTATGAATATGAAAGTAGTAACGATTGTGAAATGATGGATGAAGAAGGTGAGGACAGAAGATTAATATTTAAAAAGATTAAGATTATATTAGAAGGTAGGGAAAAAGATAAGAGAAGTAGAATCATAAATTTTCTGGGGAATTTTGGCACAAGATTTAAGCAAGCTTTCTTTGCACGAGACAAGGAAGAATGGGTAATGCAATCGTAAAGAAAAATGTAAAACAGAGATATGATGATGGTAATGCATGAAGATAGAATCTAAAATAAGAACGCAAGGGAAATTAGGATTAAACGGCGTTACGTAAAAGCAAAATAAAAAGAAAATGCGCTCAGAGGGAAGTACTAACTTTTGTAAATTTTTTAACAGAAGGAAGGACGAGTATGGAAAAGACTACGAAAGGATTGATCAAGGAAAGAAAAATATATACTTGGATGAAAATTAAATTAAATTAAAACTTTTAACGATGAAAATTTCCCAGCAAACGGGAAACTTTCCAATTACCAAAAAAAAAAAAAAAACTTAACAAACAGCGACGTCGAGAAAAATCATTCGATAAAACAAAGTAGTGGAAAATCCGTCAATACGTTGAAAAAACTCGCAGAGTTTCCTCTGTCAATCACAGCTGAAAATCGAGCAAACGATCCGCGAAAGGACCGTTTGATAAAAGCAAAGACACAGGTAACCGACTCGTCGCGAGGAATCGAAATAAACAATCGACACAGTCTACTAGCGGAGAAACAGGAACTACCCTAGCGTGAAACAAATAACCAGGCGGGTAATACGCATGAAAGATTCACGAAAGAGGGTCAATAGAACACGGGGAGCACGGATAAGCAACAACTCCCGGCCGTATGCCAGCGATAACAAGAACGCTGGTGACACGCATGTGTGTTTGTGATATGTCGAGCTGTACGCGTGCAACGATAGCGCGGCATGGGTTTGTGCTAATTGCGCTAGTAGAGCAGCCAGTTACAGATCCCACGTGCTAGCCTGGTAGTCGTCCCACGGCTCACGCCTGTGGTTTATCCCCGAGCGTTTCGAATAAAACGGCCGGCTTAACCGGTCGTTAAATTCGCCGGCGATAAGCCGGTTTTATGCAGCTGACAAGATAGCCGGTTCGCGTGCGTGCGTATGTGCGAACATCGGCCGGCCACGAACATTTGCGCTCGACGGCCATGCTGCATCGCCGGCCTAATGACGCCGAACGCGCCTCAAATTTCAGTCGTATACAATATTTCGGTGAATCGCGGCCGATACAGCGAGTGGAAAAGCCTGAAATCGAGTCGACGATTTCAGGTGATTTTCACAATTTCACGGGAAATATCCGCGTGATTTTCGGGGCGCGTTAAAAGGTAACGGTGCGGTAAAACTTGTACACGGTTGATCAGCGGATTTAATGGGTTCGGTGGATTATGTGATAGCGCGATCGTTTCCGTAGTAGGCAGGGGTTTCTTTGTAAGATGATTATCTGTTGGTGAGTTATTGCTGACTTTCTAGTTTGGATTTATTGTTACAGATAAAATGAGATGAATTGTTTACGTTGTCTGTTGCGCACGCAGATCGTATCTGAGGCTATAATTTTTGTTGCACTTTTGGAATTTATCGTCAAATGACGAATGATTTTTATGGTATAAAAGCTAATGTATATATATATATATGTATGTATATGTATATTTTTTGTTTCAGATTCAGCTTGGTTGTTGGTTCAGTGTGCTTAATTTACTTTTTGGATCAACTCTTTCTCAAGAGTGCACTTGTACTTGCGTGTGCACTTGTTCATAGTGTTTCGTAGAATTTCATTCAAAGTGGAATTGTAGAGACTAATATCTAGGTAAGTATACGGTTATGAAACTTTCCTAGCACCCTGTATATTATTGTATAATTATATTTTAGTTCGGTTTACCTGGTTTAAGACCAACATCGACAAGTTAATCGATTCTTCTCACCGCTATTAGACTAACGAAATCTGTAAAATACTGTATACCACTAAAATTTCGCGCCACGTTGTCGCATTTACTTTTGTTCCTGTCTGGCTACGGTTTGTTATTATATATCTTACCTCTATAAAGCTTGACGCTTCCCGGACGTTCCCGGATAGTTTTAGAATTCGATGAATTGCTGCGTTTAGAAGCTATAAAGAAGATTTATCTATAAAAAAGTTGCTAAACAAGTGGAGCCTGTTAGCAGTTGGTGTAAGACGTAGAAACGTTGATCGAAACTTCTGCCGTGTTGTCTGTCGGATGTGTTTACGAGTAATCAGCCAGGTTGGAAAATAATATTTCTATGCTTTAGTTACGATCGTGAGACGCTGTGATATTTAATATCCTATTTCTATCATTAAA